TTCAAAACCTTGTGTTTAAATCATGAAAAGGAAAATAGTCCCCCTCTCCGCAATTTCTTCAGTCAATAACTGCTCTTTAATGTAGTCCACGTAATGTGAACCGGCGAGTGAAAAGATGATCGTAGTGTACAGTGTCAGCAAGTAGTGATAGAAAGGAGGAGAAAATATATGAAGTACATGGTCCTTTACAAGTGTGTGGTGCGCTTTACCACCCATTTCACAACCCTATGGACCCATTGTAATCTGCTTCATTGTCCTCTTTATCTCCAAATAAATGTGTATAAATATATATCACCCTACCCCTACTCCACCGACCTTATAGATTCATATGTAGCCATTGAGTGATAGAGTATTTGAGGAATCATAATAAGATGAGGAAGGAAATAGCAACCATATGTTGTTTGGTTGGGATGGCAGTCATCCAGCTCATTACTGCGTCTGTTCCAAGATCGTCCACTGAGCCTGACAACATCATGGCCTTTTCCCCATTGCCGTCTTTGTGCAATGGGGGGCGCAACAGTAGTGACATAACAGCAGGATTGCTAAGCAGAAGATGATGGTGAAGAGATGATGATGGACTCAGAGGTTCATCCGATGTTAACATTGGAGGCCGACGGGAAGAAGATCGGGTATGGTGCCCTGAACGCAGACCGGCCCATCTGCAACTCAGGAGTCAGGACTGAGGCCATACGCCGACTGCTTGCCTCTCCCCGCTAATCTTCGCACTCAGAGGTTGCTACCGCATTTATCAGTGCAGAACAAACATTTTACCAGCAGCACAATATTAGTACCTAAACATGCACAGGCCAGAAGAAAGATGAACAGGCTTGATGCCTTTATTATGCATCATATAAAAGGTCACATAAACAACAGCAATATCCATCAATAACTGGCAAAAACTGACAAAAAAGAATTCCCTCGTCAATTAACTATTCTTCCCTCTAAGAATTACTCACACTTGCTTCCAGGATTGTTAAATTTTCTATAGTAGGAAGAATAAGCATCCTGATGCACACGGTAGCCACCAATTGTTACGGGCTTAACAGACTGCGACAGCGAGTTCCATGTTAGTTATATCCATCCATTGTCGTAGCAGTCCCTTCCGCCCCCAAATCTCTTTTCTGGATATGGCGATGTATTCTATTCCTTTTAGCGTATAGGCTCTGGAAACTGGAAAGCTTCAACTCTACTCCTTCGAACAAGAAACTATCAATTGAATCGGAAGAATGTTATCTTTAGAGATTTTATGATGAATGTTAGCGAAAAGAACTGATATCCGTAGCTGCTATAAGGAGTTTCTGTATATCCTGTACCAGTGTCCCCAAAGACCAGGGAGCAAGAAGAGAAATCATGGCCTCTGGAGAATCAGTTTATTCCCTTTTATGTGATTTTTCACAAATGCAGCCTGGCAGGGGATTGGCGTAAAAACTCTCTTCCAGCTTCGGAAACTCTCCAGGCTCTCTATAATATGGACCACCAATTCTGTCTCTGTGTAGTTTTTTCAACTTTAAACTAAACTTTTTCCAAGAGATATTCCCTTCATCGAACTCATCAACGAATTTTACAATATTTAACCTGCAAGAAAATGCAAGTGAATTCAGTTAAAAAATATTCTTTTGAACGGAATATAAAAAAAGATATGTTAAATTGACTATAAACTGTAAAACGTGCAGCAAATTCAATAAGATCAACCAGAAGGACTTGGGCATCCCCAATTACACATTTGTAGGTAAAGCTACTCTTAACAATTTCCGTGTTTCCTTGACTATCAGATATTATGGCACGTCTTTGAAATTTGTTCTGGGTTACTCGTCGTTCTCAACTCTAGTAGGGACATATTATTCACCAACCTACAGGTGGCACGTCTTTGAAATTATCAACCAGAAGGACTTGGGCATCCCCAATTACACATTTGTTCTTGGGTTACTAGTCGTTCTCAACTATAGTAGGGACATATTATTCACCACCCTACAGGTGGCAGTCAAATAGTTGTTCTGAAATTTTTAAATATATGTCGAAGGAAAATTACAATGAACAGACAAATTTGTTAGTTACTGTTAAGCTATATGGGATACATTTAGCTTAGTAAAACTGTTGCATATGAACTTCAAATATAAGAAAATTGGAATTTGGTATTCAGCTTCAAATTTGAAATGTTAATAACCAATGTAATTTCCATTAATACATATTTCAGTTGAAATATGTCGATATCTCACGGTAGTCACTGCTTATCCCATATTCACAAGTCAAAATAATCACATTATCAGATCAAGAAAACTAATGCAATAGGATATATATTACCTGTCCGGGCTGATGGTTTGTCTAAAGTTTTCAAATCGCCTGTGTCCCTGCACGGCCTTTGCCATATTCCCATCATAAGTATAAATGAAAACATCACTCTGAAGAGCAACAATGTAATCCAATCCAGCCAGCATGTTCTGGTGATTTTTGAAAGGACTGAGTTCTTCTTCTGTTGCTAGAGTAGAATGAGAGTAGATGTTGGGGAAATCATTCGTAAGATACTGCATACTTCCATTTCCAAAGGCCTCACCAGCCACCAAGTATATTCGTGTGCTTGACGGAAACCCTAATGCTTTAAGCAGAAGGGAAGTCTCTCTTGGAGTTAAAGGACAACCGCCCAGGTTCCGCCTCTCAACTGCATCAATTTCTTTCTCCTTCCAGTGACTTACTTCATAACGCATTTGCCGTAATTCTTCTGCTTCCTCAGATGTCAAACTGTGACTGCAACCTGTGAAGGCGAGCATGTCTTTTTCATATCTGCAATATCGAGAAGATAGGAATTAAGAAAGTTTCTCATGGAGAGCCATATGAAGGAAATTTTTTAAGAGAAGTACAGTGGAAAATTCTGAAGAAAATAATGCAAACACGAAAGTCGTGCCAAGCAGGTAAACATTCAATAGTAATGAATTGGATACATCTCCTGATATTTTCTATATAAAAGCCCGAGTTAATTCCTTCAATCGTTGTTTAAGAGTCTGCTTAGATATGTGCAGAATCAATCCCAACAATTTGGTTTGTTTTTATTTGACCTTGTCCAAAGCCAGCAATTTTGCTCCATACAAAAAGGAAAAATAGAAAAGCCAATCAGGAGGGCAGGAAAAACATGTGTTTCTCCCTTTCCTCGTGTTTTCACTAGTTGAATTTCTAGTTACGTTTCTGGAGTAACAACTAGCCTCATTAAGATCATGAAGCTCATATCAAAACAGGGCTTAAATGATAAAACATTTTGAGAACCATGCGTAGACCCCAAGACCCAGATGGTTTTGTTCTTGGAGAGTGGTTCGGTTGCTGGATTGAAACATCGAAACCACATCGATGAAAGAGTCAAGAGCTTTCAAAAAGGTTCCTTTGAACTAAAGAAATACCATACGATGGATTTGGCAGACCAGTATACACATACATCCCTCCCTATTTGCTTTCAGCCTGCGTTCCCGGAAACTGGCGACCTTAAGGCCAAAATGGAGAGGGAAATGGGGACATTGGGGAGGCACTCTGCTTGAGTGCCACTTTGAGGCTGCTATTTGGAATCAAAACACTCACCTATGTACTACTCACGACGAATATAATATGTTGTGTATAAGTACGGAAATCATAGCCTGGTAAGAGGGTTAACTTGCACATATCTGTAGCATTTCAACTAGCTTTGTGTAAACAATTTTACAAACAAAATGGTGGAACACTACAAAAGTAAATCTATCACCTTTCATGACTGCTTGAATCAACAGATACTTCTACGAAGTTTTCTTCTTTTATTTTACCATCTTAATCATCCTATTTTATTCACAGTTCTCATCTTTCATTTATTTATTTTATTTAGTTGGAATTCTCCAACTTATACCTCAACAAAGGTAAGTTTGCGGCTTTGGCTTGAAATCAGCTTTATTTAGTTGGAATTCTCCAACTTATACCTCAACAAAGGTAAGTTTGCGGCTTTGGCTTGAAATCAGCATGGTGGTATCGCAACTAGACTACAATCACCTCAACAAAGGTAAGTTTGCGGCTTTGGCTTGAAATCAGCATGGTGGTATCGCAACTAGACTACAATCAACTGGAAGACTTTTACTTGCCAAGATCCCCAGGAAATCAATGTTCTAGATCACAAAGACCGTTACTAGAGCAAATATATGTCTGTTTGAACAGTGTTACTAGGCATCTCTATTATTGCAAATTTTGCCATGTCAATAGAATTTGGACACCTTCAGGGCACATGTAAACAAGAAAGGGATATAAGGTATCATGGTACTAAAAAAGGAAACTGATTAAAAGTAATATCTAGAAAGGATCACAAGAAGAAAAAAACAAGAAGTCCTAATGGGTCTGCGTCTAAGTCTCAGCATTGAGTATTGAATAATAATTGCCTTCCCCTCTCCCAATGCCCCACCAAATGCTATCAAACACGAAAGGAAGAGAAAAGAAGAAAGATACAGCATGAAAAATAAGAAAGAAGACAATTGAAAGATGATGCACAGGTAATTAGAAGATATAATCATGTTTAAAGAGAACTGGAAAACTGCATTTATATGAAAGAAGACCTTACCGTAAATGAAGAGCAATATAAGGGCTTCCATCTTGGCGTATCCTTGATATTAAGGTGGCACCCAGCTCTTGAATTGAGGCTGAATATTTCAATGCTCTGTAGTTTACACGACATCTCAGCTTCTGAACAGATGTTGGAAGTCCATTGTTCGCCAGTCGGGAGTCTGTATGGGTGAAGTACATAACCTTGTGCTGTTTCAAAAGTGGGAGAACATCTGATTTATAGTAATTGACCTGAAGACAGAGATTTAAAGTATCATGAATACATATTTTATCAAGTAAAATCAGAATACATCTTTCAGTGATCAGTATTGGTTTTTACCTTAGACCAGGATATAGGGGCCTTTGTAAAAGGTTCAATTTTCTCGTGTGAAATTGGCAGTTTCTCAACTATGTGAACCTCATCCTTTAAGGTCTCAATGAAATGCTTCCAATCAAAAAGATCCTTGAAGTCGCTGTAGGAAGGGAAAAGATCTTCAGATCCAAATTAGCACATTGCAGTAATTTAACAGACTGAAGCAATTTCGAGAGAACAGCTGTGAACCTTTCATCTGCCCAGTAGGAGGAGTGATCAAGTGAAGGGAGAACTAGTGTTGCCTTCATGATCTTAGCAACGGCAACCATATCACAAATCTGTATTCAGTAATATGATTTATCAGATACTGTGTTATAGCATTTTACTTGCAGCTTATATAAATCTAAAGATACAAGTCACACCCCAAATCTCATCTGATTTAAGCCCCCATTCGCATTTATCAGTAGGTAACCATTGGTCTTAGCATCCAGCTCTGCAGAAAATCCAAACCTTGAATTTCATGGGAAAAAAGAAGAATCCGACAATCTAGAAAACTTACTTTTTTGGTGATCCACATGGCCAATGCACTGCGTGAAATTTTCACTGTTTGGTTTGGCCCATATTCCTTTAAGCTGAAAGTTGAAAACAATGTTAGTAAATTAATATATGGGTCTCTGGAGCTACAAACGAAAAAAAGAAGATCACGACAATTACATCAAACATGACTTGCCTCAACAAAACCATTTTGATCTCCTGCTCCTGATGATACCGTTTTCAGAGTTCTTTCACTGTCACTAAGCCCCCTATGCCCATGATCATGAGATATTTGAACCTTTTGACCGGAAAATTGGGTGCCAGATAAATCCTAGTAATCACCCAAATTAACACCTTCAATATTTCTTAAGTCCATTCAAAGAGTACAATATAGGAACCAGAAGTTAAAATCTTCACAATAAACATGTTATAGAAGTTGAGAAGGAGGGAGAAGAGAGGGAGGGAGAGAGAGAAGTGACCAATACAGATTATGGGATGATGTCATGCATATATTTGAGCAAACCTTAGGATTAACATATATTGGAAGAAGCAACAACAAAACGATATTGGTTTAAATATTACAAATGCATACAATAGGACAAAGAACTAGCGAAATGGCTTCCAACTTTTCCAGCAAGCTTACTCGCCAAAAAGTTAATAATTCAAGTGTTTTTGAGAACTAATGAACAATCTACCGCTATTAGTGGCTAGAATATTTAGTATGGGAAGCTGTCTAAATTCCTCTCCTTCTCTGTCTTGTTCCAGAGAGTGAAAGAAAGAAAAGGTAATGAGCGAGAAACTTACTGCTTTTCTGCAACAATGTAAAGTCAAAGAACTAGAAGGAAATGAAGTGAAAGACTGCGGAAATATCTACATTTTCAAGGAAAAGGATAAAAGGACGAATGGAAGAGAAAGGACACAACCTGAGGTTTAATAGCTCGGTAAATCTTTGAGAGTTCAAGGTGTCTCAGTCAAGCCTTAATAACAATTGATTGAGCCCTCTTATTTTATATATAAATCTCTCAACAAAGTTTAGGTTTAGGAAACCTTTAGTAAGATATCAGTGACAGGATGAGCACTCTCTCACCTGATGGTGACAGCACGAGTTAAGGAACAAGCTATCTTAAATGGTTCGTTCAATGTTCAGCTCATATGTCATTTGGCATGTCACTTAATAATCTAGCTAAAGCTTGAACCTCAAGTTGATAAAAATTTTCCAGCTTGAACAAGTCCTACATCTTATATTGAGTAAGAAGATACCTAGACTTCTCTTCATGCATTATGTAAAGTGCTAATATCACTATTTTTCAAATGCTACAAGTCACTAATCTCGAATTTTAACTAGAAAAGGATTGTTAGACAGGTAAACAAGCAATCCTCAGTCAAACTAGGATAATCTCCATTGTCCAAATCAGAAACCATGTTCTCCACTAGCTTAGAAACCCTACACAAAATTATCATTTACTCCAATTGAGAATGATGTCACTGAGTACCTAAGACATCATGTGTGTAAGCTATAATATTTGTGTGAATCAATAACATTCTTTAATTTATGAGCAATAATTATTACAAAAACTGAACATCTAATATTAAAGAGAATCAAACAAACAAACAGCTCATCCTAAGCTTAATATAAAATAAGTCAACTTCAAGCTCAAATTAACTCAGGTTGATTTCAATCCCAGCCTAATAGAAACCACAGATTTATGAATCTAAAACATAGCAACAAAACAATTGCATAAAATTTCAGATAAATCCTAAATTGTTTCTTCAAAACATTAATTTCAAGGTATATTCCGTATATCTTAACCTACATATCCAATTATATACCCAAAGAAATATAAAAACCAAAAAAGCGCAGTTAGAAGTCAATTACTTTAAGGAGAATTTCACTTTACCAAATACCTACTGCTCTAAAGAAATCATATAATTAATAAGCTCCAATAGTAATTATGAACAGGATCTCAACATAAAAATTCCATCTTTAGCAAAACCAAGTACTCACCCGATACTCTCCCTGCTGCTCCAAAATCCCTGTAAACCCTAACCAACCACCAGCAAAGATCTTCACTACCCCGAGCATCAAGCAAACGCCACAGAACGCAAGGAACAACAAATTCCCAATCCTCCTCCTCTCTCGAAACCCTAGATCCACGATCCCCGCCACCTGCGACTGCCTCTTAAACATTTCCCTCCCCAATCCAATCCTAAACCTAAGATTCCTCCCCTGCTGGTTCCCCTGCCACCGCTCCTCCGCCGTCGCCTCCGCCGTCGGCGATCCTCCGGCGGGGCTCTCCGACCTCGGGGAGTTGATCTGGAGCTCGATCTCGTGGCGATCGCCGCCGCTGGTCCCTCGCTTGAAGGAGTGTCCACGGCGAGTCACGTTGCCGGTGAATCTAGGGCTGTTGACGCTGCGGCCATCGATTTGGTCCTTGGAGGTGGCGGTGTTGGTTACGTTGTGGAGCTGGAACCCCATTAATAGCTAGGGCTAGGGTTAGGGTTCCTCGTGACGGTTAAGTTGCTCGAAATGGAATTAGGGTTTTTGAGATCGCCATTAATGGAAATCTTCTGCTCTTTTCTGGAGTCAGCTTTTTATGGAAGCGGGCGGAGGGAAGATTTTAGGAAGGGGGGTGGCGAAGGAGGTGGCTTTCAAAATGCCCTTCACTGTTTCGTACATTTTCAGGATTGCCATTGAGTTCGAGTAGACTAAAATACCCTTTTCGGACACTGTAGCATTTAATTGTGGCACGCATTATTGTATGCAAGGAAAAAAAATGTTTACGGGATCGATTGCTGCGTTCAGCTGTCTTTCGCTTCTTATACACATCATTAATGTAGATAAGTGTATATTCGATTTTTATCATTTTGGTATCAAGCTTGTTATTAAAAAGGGGTGAAATGGGAAACAGATGATGATTATTATTCTTTGAATCTTATAAACGGTATATAAATAATATATGATCTATTTTCATGTCGCGATTATTTGTTGAATACTTATGATTTTTTTTTTCTTAGTGATAGATGAAGAATGAGTGCATCTTGCCTGCATGAAAGTGAGAGTTTTCTTATAAAAACATACCTAATTAATATGCTATTATTCTAAGTGTTCTAAAACTCTCAACTTTTACAAATCTTTTCCAAAAAATGTCTTTTTCTTTAAAGCATTTCTTTCGTAAGGATAAATATTGACACAAGTGTACTTGGGAGTCAAATTTCAAACTTTTTCTAAACCAAGCCCAAGATTTTGTGCTCCCACCATGATCAGTCGTTAAACTAATAGCATAGGTAATCAAGCTTAATTAATCATAGTTCCAAATTATGCTCATGTTAGGTGGTCCCTTAAAGTTAACACACACATTCCATGCTGCACGTGGGTGGCATGTGTGATGTTAGTGCGGTAAAGCTAATGACGGTGGACAGGGACGTCATTAATCAAAAGTGATGGGTGCCAAAATTAATCCGCATGCCATGCAAAAATGTTTAACTACTTATTTATTTTTGGGCAAGATTTAATTAGGAAGTGTGTTGATGGGGAAAGGGAAATATTATTCTTATCATAGGAATCATAGATAGAAAGAAAAACCACCTCCCTTTCTGCATCCATCTGTTTATTTATGTTTTATATTTTGAAATTTTCATTTTTTATGATTTTATTTTCATGAAAAATACATGGACAGTTTAAAATATGGATTCTTTTCCATCTGCCAGACAATAAAAAGAAAGTTATATATATTGAGTGGTAATATGTCCGAGATCTCATCCTTTTCCTTAAAAAAATATAGTTATTTATTGTTATAGTTATCTATTGTTATCTCAAGCAAAAGAATAAAATAGTTAAAATTCAGAATGCCGTGGAGTAATTGTTTACTCAATAATAGTTGTTTGTCGTCTAAAGTGTGATTTGCGGAGATAATATATCAGTCTGAATTACTCATGATCATGTAGCTATTATTGAATGATTACAATTAAAAGGATTTTTTCCCCCCGAAAATGACATAGAAAAATTGAGATCTAATAAATGCTAATTATATCAGAACTATGGTCGTTTGTGGCTTGGGATGGCGCCTACCATGTTTGATTTTCTTACCGTGGTCCTACCACTAATGGTGTATAATTTCGAATGATTACCAAATTACCCTTGTCTCCTACTGAGATATCTGGCTTGCCTAGGCGGTGAACAACGAGGTTAAAGTGGTCATTTTTCACAGCGCGGCAGGGGATAGGGTCAACGTCACGCGGCAGAGACACTCGTTCCTCTCGTGACAGGGAGCATGCAGCCAATGATCGGCGGTGGCTACCGTGAATGACGAAACCGCCCCTGGTTTTTTAGAACGTTTTTAATTCATTTTATTTGAGAGCCTACGTGATAATAATTCAGACTGGTTTAAAATACGAAATTCAGAATAAATACATCTCAACTTAGTCACATAAACATGCATAACATGTTAGATCTGAATCATAAAACTTAAGATCTAAAATCATATAGCCATGATTAATTCAAAGAGATTAACAATAATCAAAAGAGCGGAAGCTTATACCTGAATCCATGGATGAACCTTGGGATGGGTTTTGGATCTTCTAACCTTAGGGTTTCTCTAAAACCGAATTTCTCTAGCTAGATGGGGGTGTAGAGAATTAGAGAATGTAACCCTAGGTTAGGGACCATAACCCCTTATTTATAGATGTTGTAATTTTGTAATTTAGCCCCTCAATAAATCACAATTACAACCTGGTATCTGTACATATAACCCCATGATTATATTTAAATACTCATTAACCCAACTTAATTGATCACTTTAGTGGGTTATCCTGAAAGATAGCAATACACATTAATTAATCATATGTGCCCACAAATAGATTTATTAGATTAAATCCAACAATCTCCCACTTGGGCACCATATGATTCCTTAAATTGTGTATAACCTTATGAGCTCAAAAATTGCTATCACTGAAAAGGTATTTCCTAACAATCTCGTCCATTGACTATATCAATACAGGATCAAAGCGGCCTTCGTCACATTTATCGTGACTCGACCCATCAATGGTCACATATACCAATACAATCAAACGACATAGATCAATCATGGATGTGCAGCATGAAAATTACATGCAATGTGATCAGTACATGTCTATTTTCAACTGGTCCTCCTTAGTGAGGTCAAAACCAAACATAATGTAACAGAGTGTCTTAACTGAATACTTTATTCTGATCAGACAATACAACCAAACATAAAGCACCACAAATACAAACTCCCACTAAAACATAATATCCTCAAATAATACCACACCCATATGAGCAGTATGCTCATGAAAGACCTTAGGTGGCAATCCCTTAGTAAGAGGATCAGCTAACATGGAGTTTGTCCCAATGTGCTCTATGGATATCTGTCCACTCTGTACCCTTTCTTTCACAACCAGGAACTTAATGTCAATATGTTTTGACTTAGTTGAGCTCCTGTTGTTATTGGAATACATTACTGCAGATTTATTGTCACAATATAACCTTAGTGGTCTTTCAACATTTTCCAAAATGCGCAGTCCCGTGACAAAATTTCGCAGCCATATTCCCTGATTGGATGCCTCATAGCAAGCTACAAATTCTGCTGCCATAGTGGAGGAAGCTACTAGTGTTTGTTTGACACTTTTCCATGATATAGCTCCTCCTGCTAACATATAAATGTAGCCTGATGTAGACTTCCTGCTATCTTGGCATCCAGCAAAATCAGAGTCCGAATACCCAATGACCTCTAATTTCTCTGATTTTCTGTATGTGAGCATGTAATCTTTTGTTTTCTGAAGATACCTCATAACCCTTTTGACTGCTATCCAATGATCCATACCAGGGTTGCTTAAGTATCTGCCTAACATCCCAACAATGTACGCAATATCCGGACGCGTACATACCTGAGCATACATTAGACTTCCTACAGCCGAAGCATAAGGAATCTTCTGCATTTCCTGAATTTCAAGGTTACCTTTAGGGCACTGATTGAGACTAAACTTGTCTCCTTTAGCAACAGGGGTGTCACCTGGTCTGCAATCTTGCATGCCAAACCTTTTAAGTACCTTATCGATATAGCTCTTTTGTGATAATCCAAGAATACCCCGAGAGCGATCTCGATGTATCTGGATCCCTAATATAAAAGAGGCGTCCCCAAGATCTTTCATCTCAAAATTCTTTGATAGAAATCTCTTGGTTTCGTGCAACATGCCTATATCATTAGTGGCAAGCAAGATGTCATCCACATACAGAACCAGAAAAATATACTTACTCCCACTGAACTTGTGATATACACAGTCATCAACAATGTTCATCTCAAAACCGAACGAGATAACTATTTGTTGAAACTTATGATACCATTGACGAGGAGCTTGCTTGAGTCCATAGATGGATTTCCTTAATTTGCAAACCATATTCTTTGGGTCTCCTGACACAAAGTTTTCTGGTTGCACCATATAAATCATCTCATCAATGTCTCCATTGAGAAATGCAGTCTTAACATCCATCTGATGTAACTCAAGATCATAATGAGCAACAAGTGCCATGATTATTCTGAAAGAGTCTTTCGACCAAACCAAGTTTGAGGAATATCTCTCATCATCCTCTCCAAAATCTTCATTGTCTCGTAAGTACAAGAGGATCTCACCATTGAAGAAGACTTACATGCCAAAGAAGGCTAAAAGTGAAGACTTTCGCCCAATCGTTGTTGAGGCCTTGCCTCGCAACATTATCCCGGCGACCCCCAAAGCCGGAAGCTCTGCTCGTAATGATTCCACCCTAATTAAGGAGTTGTTCGATCGAAGTTCACCAACTCTGACGAAGAGGGCTCGTCAGAGGCGACGCCAACGCCGCGCTCGTCAATTAGTTAAAGTCTTAGAACAAACCGACGGAGTTCGTTATCATGCGGACTTAGAGTCGAGGAGACATCGAGTGGTTCAGTTGTCTCAATGACCAATCACTCATGTCTCTGCTAAACTCACGACGGAGGAATGGACCCTTGTCAAAAGGGCTCGTTCGACCCTCAAAGAACGTATACAAAAACGCCGTGCAAATGCTGCTCATGTCCGAACTCTCCTACAACAGTATGGATCCCCAAATCCAAACTCGTACTAAAATCGGGTCTGCATAATCCAACTTGTGACCGCGGCAGTCTTCACTGTCGCGGCACATCCTTCAACCGCGGCAGTTTCCCCTGCCGCGGCACGTCTGGCGACCGCGACGAGCTTCCCTGCCGCGGTCAAAGAGAAGCTCCAAAGAGTTTTCCTTCAGCCCCATCAACGTCCATTCTTGGTCCGTCTACTACAATCATAACTGTTCCATCACCAGGGAAGCCACGGTTCAGTCCTGACCTGTCAATATCCAAGATCATGATGGCGGACCGCCTCAGTCCCTCATCTGACGATCAAGACAAAGCTCCAGTTAAAGAACGCTTGGGTCCAGTGAACGAATCCCAGGAGCCCGTTAAGACCTCAAAGACAAAAATAAATTGTCCTGAGAATGCCAACAAGGTTTTACACCCCCAGAAGAAGACGCATTCACCAAATGATATCGTCATACCTGGGAGGTCATGCCAACAGACGATACGATTTTTTGGCAATCATACCGATGAATCGTATTAT